CTGGGACACACTTGTTTTAGGCTGAAGATCTCTCTTCATCTCCCAGCAACCCAGGAACCCATTTCCAGAGGGCTCCTGGCCTTCTTATAATCCCTCTTTACACAACACTCCAGGTATAGCTATTCCTACATCATCCCTAACCAATGCCTGTCCAACCTCTTAAAAACCTCCAAAAAGATGAAGGTTCCACAACTTCCTTAGGCAATCTATTCAACTGCTTCACAGTTCTGAGCATAGAAAACCAGGGCTAGAAATGACCTCTAAACCTACGTTGCTATAATTTCAAGCTATCAGTTCATGGCCTGCTCTGTGCAGCAGAGTGTTCTCCTTTTTCTTTATGACATCCCTTCAGATAGTTGAAGGCTATTATCATAATAGTTTTTAACTACCTGCTCTACAAGCTGAACATGCCTATTTCTTTCAGCCTCTCTTCATAGGGCTTGCCCTCTGAGCCCTTTATTTTTGTTGCTCACCTCTAAACCCTTTGTTACTTTTCCACATTATTTTTAAAATGTGGAGTCCAAAAGTGTCATCACAATACTCTAGATGAGGTCTAACCAGTGCCAAGTAAACAGGCACTATCACCCCGTGTCTTGCACTTAATGCTCCTATTAATACTACCCAAAATTCAATTTTCTTTTTATGAAGCCATGTCACACTGCATACTCATGTTCTGCCTCCAACCCATCAAGACTCCCAGATCCTTCTCTATAGTGCTACCATGCAGCCAATTATCATCCCTTTTCGTATTCATTTTTAATCATTCCCCCTCCCCACCCTGAGGCATAGCATCTTGCATATGTTATATGAACTTCATCCCATTGGCTCCAGCCCAGACTTCCAATAAATCCAGATCCTTCAGAATTGTGCCCCATCCTCCAATGTATTCACAATCTTTTGCAGCTTTGTCTCATCTGCAAAACTTCTCAAAACACTCTTTATTCCATCATCTAAATAATTAACAAACACGTTGAAAAGCACTGGGCCTAGGACAATCCCTGTGGGACTCCACTCAAAGCCTCCTGCCATTCTGACATGGATCCATTTATCATTACCCTTTACTTGCAAGTAGTGAGCTAGGGGTCTACCCACTTTTTAGTAATTTTGTCTCTCACATCTTTATCCAATTTGTTTATGAGAAGGTCATGTAGGACCTTGAAAAAAAACCTTGCTAAAGTTCAGATCTAATATATCCGCTGCATTCTCTTCATCCACTCAGCTAGTTGCTTTGTCAAAGAAGGAGATCAAGTTTATTTGACACAATTTGTTCTTAGTACATCCATATTGGCTGGTTGCAATTTTGTTGAAGTATCTGTATATCTCTGTTTTTTTTCTGTATGGTATGTCTACTGCTAAGATTCTGTTCATTCTATTTTATCTAGGTCTTTTACTTGCACTGACCTATACTACAGATGGTGGGGCTTCTCTGTTGAATGTACATCATTGTAGAAAGCATACATCTTTACAATGGACCCCTCTGAGAAGCAGCTATTTGCAGGAGAAGGATATCAGAAAAATAAATGTCACTGCTGACATTGAGATTTTTAGTCTTACAGGGACCATAAAGGATATAGCTGTACTGTATTGAGTACAACAGACTTTAATAATCTAAGAAATAAAGCAGTACGAGTTGTGTCAGCAAGTCATTTGTGCCCTATTCTAAGAGTTGCAAATTTTTTTTTGCTGGTAGGGAGAATTTTTTTTTCCTTATGGAATCATATCTTGAAGTCCTTGATCTACACTGAGCACAAAGGTCAGGTGATTCCATGCATTCTCTCCTGCTTATTGCCAGTCTACTGCAGTTCCTATCTTCAAAAAAAGGGGGGAAAGTAGATCCAGGGAACTACAGGCCTATCAGTCTGACCTCTATCCCAGGGAAGATCTTAGAAAAAAAATTATCAGAGAGACCATTCTTGACCAACTGGCTGATGGCAACATCCTGAGGGATAGCCAGCATAGGTTTGTTGCAGGTAGGTCTTGCCTGACCAATCTCATCACCTTCTATGACCAGGTGACATATAACCTGGACAAGGGAGAAGAGATTGATATCATATATCTTGAGTTTAAAAACAGACTTTCGATCTAGTATCCCATGATCATCTCATAGAAAAACTGGTCAACTGCAGCCTTGGCTACATCTCAGTCTGCTGGCTGGGGAATTGGCTCCAAGGTCTGACCCAGAGTGGTAGTTAATGGAAGTCTATCATCATGGCACACCATGACCAGTGGGGTACCCCAAGGCTCTGTCCTTGGGCCTATACTTTTTAACATCTTCATTAATGATATGGACATTGATGTCAGAAGCAGACTGGCCAAGTTTGCTGATAACACCAAATTTTGGGGTAAAGCATCCTCACCCAAGGACAGAATGGAGATCCAGGCCAACCTCGACAGGCTCAGAAAATGGGCGGATGAAAACCTGATGGCGTTTAACACCAAAAAATGCAAGGTACTCTACCTTGGGAAGAGTAATCTGTAGCATGCTTATAGGCTTGGCAGCGCTACTCTTGCTAGCAGCACGGCTAAAAGGGACTTGGGTGGCATGATTGACCACAAGATGAATGAGCCACCAATGTGATATTGCAGCTGGCAAAGCAAGCAAAATACTGGCTTTGCTCCCTTAGATGTTTTCTTTCCAATTCCCGGGCTTGCATCCAGAGATGCTTCTCTAGCAAGTCCCAGGATGTCATCCTCCCACTGTACTTGGCCTTGGTGAGGCCGCAGCTGGGAGTACTGCATCTAATTCTGGGCTCCACAATTCAAAAAGGATGTGGAGACGCTTGAGAGAGTCCAGAGAGAGCCACACAATTGATCAGAGGGCAGGAAAACAGGCCTTATGATGAAAGGCTGAGAGCCATGGGACTCTTCAGCCTGGCAAAGTGCAGGCTCAGGGAGACCTGGTGGCTACCTAAAAGTATATAAGGGATATACATCAGGATCTGGGGGAGCACCTGTTCACCAGAACACCCCAAGGGATGATAAGGTCAAATGGTAACAAACTCCTCCAAGACCATTTCAGGCTGGACATAAGAAATAACTTCTTTACTGTCCGAGGCCCCAAGGCCTGGAACAGACTGCCACCAGAGGTGGTGCATGCACTTACTCTGGACTCCTTTAAGAGATACTTGGATGTTTCTCTTCTGGGATCCGTTGACCCAGCTGACTTCCTGCCCTGGGGCAGGGGGCTTGACTCGATCTCGCGAGGACCTTTCCAGTCCTAATGTCTATGAAATCTACAAAATCTTTGATAGCCAGATTCCACTGTCCATTTCCAGTGGGATCCATGTTAGGATGCTGCACTGTAGTAGAATTTAAACTTAAAATACTTAATACTGTCCATTATTAATACTGATTCAATCCAGAATGACTTGAGAGTTCTTCCAATTTTTAGAAACTTTGCTGCCAAGCTTACCCCTTTCAGCCCATATTCTTAGTCATCTATAAAGTCATTGTGAGAGATATTGCACGTTCCCATTATGGATCCTCAGACTAGGATTCTTTAGTCCAAAGCTTCTCAAACTGTGGTCCACGGACCACCACTGGTCCATGAGCTCCATTCAGATGGCGTGCAGAAAGGTTGCAAAACAAATCAAGAATACCTATACTTGTAAGGTAGGACTACTGATATTAAAATATGAGATGTGCGCTTTGATTTGTAGAGCAACAACAACAAAATTTATTAAGTGGTCTGCCAAGACCCTCAGCAATTTTCAAGTAGTCCACAAAAAAAAAAAAGTTTGAGAATCACTGCTGTAGTCTATCCTCACTCAAACAAGGATGGAAGGACTTCTATTACCAGCCTTCAAATTTTTTATGCCTCACAAAGCAAGTGGTAACATTGTTCCAGAGTAGTAAAACAAGCAAACAAAGACACTCCCATAAACTGTTTTTTTCTTGAAGCTCACAAAAGTCTATTTTTTGAGTGGCTTCTTATTGAGAGTACATAAAACACCCTTATGGAGCATTATGGGAGAAACCAAACAGACAACACATTTTAAAACTACCATATGCTAGAAAACCACCATCAGATAAAGCACTTTGAAAGATGATGTTTCCAGAAAAGCACCTTTAGTCACATTAGCAACATTTATCTAAATCTAGAAATATCACTTTCACACAAGTTAAAATTGATCTGGAAGAAATGTTTTCCCCGTAAGTGCCTATTCAAGTTCATGAATTGCTAACAAAAAAAATCTTCCCCCACCTCCCCTCCTTTCACACTTGAATAGAACAGATTATGCCTAATTGAAAACTGCAGTCAGAAAAGCAATCAGACTGACATGGTTAATAACAGACACCTCGACTAAAGTATCATTATAGGCTAAATTAAAATTGCATTTTCTTTTCTAAATATGAAATCTGCCATTGTTACAGAATGTGAGCTGTTTCTCAGTTGGATTTAAGAGAAAAGAAACAATCACAGCTTTCGTATATCTTTTTTTATGTGCATCTGGGTCTTACATCTAGGTTTCAAATGTATTGTTGTTATTATGCCTTTTATTCTTCTCTCTAAATCATGAGCATAAAGTAGAGACAAAACAGTACTAACAGGGCTTCCCCTCCCCCCCCATCAGGGTCACCTGATGGCAGTCATTTCTCTGGAAGTAGTCATGGTTGATTTAAACATACAAAAAAGTTCTAGCTAGTCAATAGCCTAACATGCCTCACCCCGGTACCCACTTCTTAACATACATAAAAGAGTTTCTTTTGTATTAACCTTGGATGAAACACGCTTTTGACATTGGAATTTTGTATTACAAGAAAACAACTGTTTATATTTTCTTTAGGGAAGAATAATAGCTCAGTTTAAAATGCTCCTAAAACATGACAGGATATGCTTGTAAAATATAATTTCTGTTAATATTATGCCCATTATCCTACCATCTAAACTTCAACAAATCAACATATTTAGAAAATATTTTTCAGTGGGACTATTTATATGCTTATGATTAAGCAAACCCCAAACATGCAATTCTACTAGGGATTAAATTCTAGGGGAGGGAGGGGGGAGGGGGCAGAGCAGAGACAACAAAATTCCTCTACTCCATCTTCTTGTAGTAGAATACAGTTCTCTTCCACCCAGTTTTCATGGGCAGAGGAACAGAAATGGATTTTTCATGACTCCCCATCTTCCTCCCTCAACGATTCTGGATATAGATGCATTAAAAAAATAAATACACAAATAAATAAAAGGTGGGGGGTGGGGTTTAAGACTCAGTCTGACCTTGTTGCATTACATTCAATTCAATATATTCTGGTAACTACAGACCTAATTCCCCTGAGATTGTTTTATTCTCAGTGTCTGACACTCCAGATCTGGGCAGGATGAGATGTTCTGTTCTGGTGTGGTCTGCAACTGATTTCTGAGGCCTGTAAGAGGTAAGGGAGAATTGAGATAGATAAAGGCTCCAGCTTGCCAAATGCTTGTAAATTTAGAAACTAGATTTTGAACTCTTTTGTCACTATTACAGCCATAAGGACTTAAGTTCGTCATTCATGGATGTGATATGTAGTTGTTTCTTAATGAAGTATACTACCTTATTCAAGGGGTTCTCTAGCTAAAAAGGTACACCCTAAAACTCAAGCACATTTTATGTGTTTCACTACATTGCATCTATTCTGCTGATTTTAGGAAAATAAAAGGAATTAAAAGGAAGAGTTTCTGTTAGGAACAAGTAGCTGAAAGCAGGTCACTCACCAACCTTCCTCATCAAGGCCAAGTAAGCTCTAAGTTCAGGTGTCCAGTCAGTTTTTTTCATATGGGCAACCTTGCCCCCATAGTGAACAACAAAGCAATGCAAAAATCAAATGAAAGCAAAACCTCCTGTCTTTCTTCAAACCTAAAGAAGATAAACCAGGCTTTGGGCTTCTTCCATGGCATGACAACCTAACCTCTTTTCTGCTTTTGGTCCTCTGCTCCTGGAGCTCTTGACTCTCTGTAGCCCCACCCTCATTTACTGGTCATCAGTTGCAGCTGTCACCTCCCCACTTGACAGACTCTTTCACCTGCTGATTATCTGCATCTGTATCTAAGCCCTCTGCAGCCTGAGAACCTCTTTACAGCAGCAAATACTATAGCTTTAAGGTAATAAATTTCTTGTCCTTTGGGCTGTAGTCTTTTCTAAGACTACTTCATTCTGCTTTTTCTGGATCTGCTTTTAAGCTTCAAACTGTTTGGGGCAGGAACTGCCTGCAATTCTGTTTCTTCTATAGAGAAAAGCAGAAAGCATTTCAAATTCAAACTTCCTAATTACCGCTTAAGTGGAGAGAATAAGGAGCATTTATTGACTGCATGGAATTGACTAAAATACAAATAGCGAGATCTTGCAATTCTTGCTCAGGCAAAACCTATCAAAGTGAACAAGAGCTTTAGCTTGCATACAGAGTGTAGGTCTTGACCTTCAAGTCATATCCTAAACCACAAATAAAGTCTTTGGTGTAGTGCAACTCTTTTATCAAGGTGATTATGTAGGGTAACAGAATGACTATACAGAGTATTGGAATGACTAATGTTATAATTTAGACAAAATTGTTGTTGCATAATTTTCATGAAAATATAATCAAAGCCTTCACACATGACTATACAGAACAGTATCACATACAATGCTAACAGATAAAGTCCATACTTCTGCATGCTTGCAAAAAAAATACTGGACTTTGAGCAGAAAGTAGTCTATTCCTGTTGGAACACACAATCCTAAGGAACTGTAAAGGTTAAAATCCACAAAAGCAATGTTTTAACTATTGTGTACACATATGATCTAGAGGAATGGGCAGGCTTCTCTGCACATCAAGCCTTGTGGTTTTACTCCTGGATCTTCTTTACACTACTTCAACCTGACAAAGGGTGTTTGTGCTCAAAAGCTTGCTAAGAAGAGTTTCTCTCACCTATTTGAGTTTGTCTAATAAAAGACACAGGATTTACCCAAAGAACTTTCTGTCTATATTTGAGCATTATACTTACACATCTGTGAGGTCAGTTTAGGCAACAAATGGCTATCCATTCCAACTTAGTTCACCCCCTTGTAGACCCTACTTTTATATTCCCAGTTAGGTCAATCTGAGTGTCAAACTGTATAGATGTTCTCTGAAGGCTAGATCAGGCAAACAATGGGTAGCCCCGTCTAACTTAGTTAACCTGAAACGTGCACTAAATTTAGGTCAGGCCTGGGTCAGACTGATCTACTTAACATGTTCAGAGCACAGCCCTGAGAAGGGGAAAACCCAGCCACTTGCCCCAGCCCTGGGGGTAGTGTTTTTCTTACCCCTACACCCAACCGGGCTTTTTTTTTTTTTGGTCACCTTAACCCCATCATCCCCAAATAAGCAACCTTCCCTGCAGACTAGCCAACCCCACCATGGATCCAGTAGCCTCTCCAATCCCATGAAACTGCCCTGCTCACCAACCAAAGCTAGTCTCTCTAATCACTCCATACTGCTCCTCCCTGCAGACCTACTAGCCTCTTCAAACCTCTCCTCATAGACCAACTTCCCTGTGGACCTACTAGCTCCCTGATCTCCCCTACCTGTACCTCCACCCAGATTGGTACTTAGATTGGGTTCCTGGAACTGACAAACAGCTGTAAAACCAGCACTTGATCTACAACCACGTGGCTTAAAGTAATTTCCTGGTAATGTCTGTATTGTTTTGCAGTTCATTTGCAAGAAGGATGATTCAAATGAGGAATGACTTAGTTAGATCAGGTGATCATTTTTAACCTGATCGAATCCCCCAAACTTCTAAGTGTAACATCTGTATGTACTCTAAACAGCTGACCTTGCTTATTGCTATACTGATCTATAAAGTGGGAACTCCCTCAGAATTTTAACACTGCTCATGATTTACAGCTGTCTTTTACCTTACCTGTGCAAAATACTTCCCAAGTACATTTACCTTGATATTTACTCAATTAAACCAATGAGTTAGAAACAGCTGCAACTTTTATACCTCTCCCTCATTCCCCATGGAGATCCCTTGCCAATTTGTAATTTTACATTTTTCTCCATTTTTTTTTTAACAGTTCTCAATGGAAGATGAATACAGATCAAATGAACTGAAAGAGTACAGAAAAAAATGACACTTACTACATGCAAAATGTGCCAAATATGCAGAATGACTAAACAAGGAAATGAGAAAATTATTTTTTTCCTAAGTTATAACTGTAATTCTTTGCTGTTTTGTTAAAATTATATTTGTGTACATTTAAAGAATGCATTTCAGTTTTCAAGCTGAAATGAATTGCAGATATATTTCCTATATTAACACAGAAAAAAAGCACTGGAACTGGTATTACCTCTAAGTGAATCCACTGTAGAAAGTCAAGAGCACATAAAGAGACATTTTATTTTACCTCTGTGATGTCATCTTATTTACCTTACTTTATCTGCAATTTTCTTTCCTCCCCAGTATTTATTGAAATATAGAATACAGATTTAGATTATTAGAATCCTAGACATAAAACATGTCTCCGAAGCAATCTGTTTCCCCTAAAATACATAATTCTAAATAATCTTGTTCATTTTACTGCATGAAAACTGGGGGTGCTAAATTTTGGAATCTCTCTTTCTGCCCCTCCAAGTTACAGCCTTACAACCCATAGCCATATATACAAAATCAACAGAGATGCCATGGTTGTCATGTCATCCCATATGCAAAGGGTTTGCAGAACAGACTTTAGTTTACTAGATAAGTTATTTTCTAAAAGTGGTGTTTCAAGCAATTAGTTGTGTCTTAAATGTCTTTTTCCTGCTGTTTTTTTAGCTCTGTTCTATATTGACTTCCACATAAAACCACACTTATCATTTGTTGTTAATGAAAACGGTGGCAAACAAATTGAGCTGTAGAGACATTAATCCAACTGAACAATTAGATATCTATGCTAATTGGCATTGTTATTTGTCATTGCCTTATTCAGACCATTCCATAAAGAGAATTATTCATCTGTATACAAACAACTTCTAAAGAATAATTTCATAATTATTGAAAAAATATGGTTGTGAATGTTAAAAAGACTATGAAAACTATTTATCAAAATAACACTAATTTTTCAAAGAGAGTAATGGGCACTTGGTGAGCTGTTATTTATGAGTTTAATATGTGTAAATGAGACCTACATAAGGAAATATTGTCAGTATAGTCAAAGAGGTTATACATTGCTGGGCAGAGGTGATAAAAGTCACTATTTCAAATTATTTATACTTTTATTTGGTGAGAAACCAATGTCTTAGGTGTTGAAATACCATTGTTACTAAATAGTAAACTTCAAAGCAAATCTTTTCATATTGCTAGCCATTGTTACACTGAACACCAAATCTTTTTGCATAGTTACATATATACTAATTTTTCATTAAAAAGGCATACTTACTAGCATTTATCACACCATGGAAACTAAGCTTCTTTATTTATTCCTTTTATAGCTACAGGAATACTAAAGCTCATATACAAAAAAATCTATAACTAATTTGGCAGAAAGCAAGTACAATCAATGAAGAAACCCTTCAACCCCTCATTAAGGATGTCCAGGTACTGCTAAGCTAATATGCCTTTACATGATTATATTCCATGCAGGCATAGACTTTTCAAACATGTTTATAATATACAACCTTTTCCCCCAAACGTATTGTATTTAGTCACCACTTCCTGCAAAATAACTATTTTATCTCTAATTTTCCCTCTTAAACCTGGCCCCCAACCATGGTCTGTCCACACCCAGACAGATCATCGGGTTTAGTAACAATAATTTATATTAGAATACAAGGATTTCTTAGGGCAATGTCATCATGACATGGCCTGGAGCCTGGACTGGTACCTGGCCAGTTGCCCCAGTCACTGTAGGCACCATTGCCTTAGGGCCCTCGAAGTTTCAACAGTGTACCAAGATGTTACTGCAGAATTTCTACATTCTAATGCAGTTGCTGAAGTTCATTATGAACAAGAAATTAATTAAAGAAGAGGTCTGTCTTTTCTCTTTAACAAAGATGTGCAATATATGCATTAGCAGCTCTTTTGTCTGATTCAGTCCACTTCAACTATTGTTGTAAACGTGCTCCTTCAGATTCTAAACAGAAACATTTCTATAACTGTCATGCCTGGAGCTGGGGCAGGGGGGGAGGGAAACAAAATAACCCCGCCTCACAGGCCCAGCCTGGCTACTCCTTCCCTGGAGAAAGCTGGGCTGGGCCCTTGAGGTGAGGAAAATTTATCTGACTTCCTGAGCTCCAGGCACAGAAGCTTCCACTGCTGTTAAGACACTCATGTGGGTGAGCTATAGGGGGGAGGGACCACCCCCCACACAGACACCCATGCAAGCCTTGCCCAGCTCCAGCAGGGGTAGCTGGTGGGGGCATGTGTGGCAGGAGAGGCTTCTCTCCTCCCCCTCTTCTCCTAGCCACTGCTGTCACTTAAGAGCTGGAAAGGGATGGCTCTGAGCCCATCCACCCAATAGTTGAACACACCAATTGGGTTTAATGGTGCTCTAACTCATGGCACTGTGTGTAGAATGCTATGAATTAGAGCACCTTCAGATGGGCTGTCTGCATTTGTGTAACCACCCCATGTTGTTTAAAATCATACTAAAGTGCTGTGGTCTCATTTGCAACACAAGAAGTGCTGTATTAATTTTTTATAATGAAAAAAACCGAAGAGCTAGAATTTTCTGGGGCGGTTCCTTCAGTGTGATGAGGGGAGCATGGAATCTAAGAAGGTTAAAAACACTAGAGTAGAGTAGAGGAGAAGGAAACGGGAGGAAGAAAACAGAAGTGTGTGAAATGTTCATATTCCATCTACTTTCTTGGTTACACCTGAATTCCTAGAAATATTGCCTCTGGGTGCAAATTATTATGTCTCTTGTGCGTAAGCCTTGCAGATTACACAAGGCTTACAAGGTTGATTTCTACT